CGGATTAAAGCCAGAGCCAGTCAGGCAAATAGTATTTTAAGAAGCATGCAGCATTGGCAATGCTGGCATGTCCCATATAAACATAGGAATGCGCTTAAATAATATCAAATATGTCAAAATGTGTAAAAAATTAAAAAAATTATAAAGTCACATCATAAAGCATAGTGTCAAAATTAAATGTGTAAATAATAAATCCAAAAAACTCCACGCAAATGAATATTAAATCTGAAATTCTGTGTTCAAACAATTACACCGTGATTGAATCCACCACCAAATGAATTGAATAAACTCACCAGAGCTAAATGCTGATCAAATTATAAATCAGCATCAACGCTATTGCTCTGGGAGCGATGATCTGTAGAAAATTCCAAGGTCTGGGAGCAATACTCTGCAGCAAGGCACTCAGCACAGATGAAAACACTCAGATTATATGGTCACCGTCTCTCCATAGGATGTAGCAGTACTCGGGGAAAAGGAAAGGAAATTCATGGTGCAGACATTTTAAAAAACCACATAGTTTATTAAATTAAGATGGCACACTCCCAAAAATGGTGTCCTAACCGACACCAGCAAGAACAGCTTTCAATAAAAAAAGACGAGCCCCCCGCTCACCGCAGATCAAGCTGCAGACAGTCTCGGGAATTCCTGACGTCACATCCATCAAGCCCCGTCCTACGCGTATTCCGCTCCGTGGTCAGTGACGAATTTAGGGAGGGGCTTGAAATGTGACATATTTGATATTATTTAAGCTCATTCCTATGTTTTATTTGTACTATGCACCTTTTTTGGGTTAGGTTTGCAGCATTTTTTAATACTTATTTCCCGTTATTTATTTTGGCGCTTTTCTTACAATTTCTATCGCATTTCCCATAGCAGAAGATTAATTTAATGTCATTCCTATGCAATGGTCGGGTGACAAGGTGCAGTTAAATGGACAGATTCTTTCCTCAACTATGTATATAGATCAGCCAGGATGATTATCCACCTACCATCAAAAAAAAGATTTCAATAAAAGCTTGTCCTCATGTCTAGAGTCTAAAAAACATTGCAATCGCAAAACATATTGCAATCAAAACTGGAGACAGCAATCCCCTAAGGCACATACTTCCCCTGTTTAGAACATCCATGAGGAGATCAAAAGACA